CCCTGTCTCCTTCATCCACCTCTTCTACTCTGTTAACCCTAAGACACATATTCCCGATTGGAGCAATATTGCCCCCAAAGGGTCAAAAATGTTTTCTAGGTGGGGAGGAAGAAAACAAACTTTAATCTTCCAATATATAAATCATAGGTATACATACAGTATACAAACATATCTGTGATAGTCACATTTCATGGGAGGATGCAATTAGGAAGAAAAGTATCTAAAAAAGCTCCTTCAAGGGAGCAATAAGGCAAACAGGTGGAGAAATACTGGCCTAATGAAAATGCTTTCAGCCTTCCTGTGCCCTCTCCTCCAATGATGGCAGCTTGGTTACAAAAATAAATGAGGAAGGTGCCAGTGTGCTACTGATGCAGCCAATTATCTAGACCATAACTGTCCACTTCTATGGTTCATACCACCCTCTTCCCAGAAAACACAGTGCCCACTTGCCTGGCCCACTGTCTTACTGGTTAACAGTAGTCCCACATGAAACCGGTTCATGAAAGCCCACCTCTCATGAACTTGTCACTGGGTATGATTACATTTGACACTTTTGTGACTTAGTCTAAATGAGGAAGGGGGTTGAAAACAGCACCCTGAGTTCTAAAGGGCATGTCTAGTTTGTGAAGCACACTCATGCAAGCTAGCCTAAACTTGCATCATCCTGGGGATGAGCATTCGCACCCTCTTTCGTCGGTAGGAAAACCAGGTCCTGGGGGCATAAAGGGATTCGCCTCCCACCCAAGTCACACATGAGGCCAAGCTGGATCCCCTGACCTGAAGTCCAGTGCTCACCCACTCCACTGCCCCATCTGCTGTCCCTCTCACGGGGCTAATTTGGAGAGGATACTTCTCCAGGAAGGACCTATGCTAACTGTTTGGTGGGCACTTTGGAACCCATAGGCATAAGCAGGCAGGGCAAACAAGGATGCCCATGGGAAGGCTGGGCTGGGCAAGAGCTGTCTGATGGAAGCCCAGAAGCCGCTTTTCCAGCCAGATCAGGAGTCCAGCAGGGCTTACCCATTGTCCCTCACCTTGGGGGAGAGAGATGCAGCCTAGAGGTGTGAGGGTGTGGGCTTTGAAGTCTGATGGATGTGAGAGTTGAGCAAAATCTCTGTCACTTACTAGCTACCTAGCAGGTACTCAGCTTCTCTGAACCTCAGTCTTCTCATCTGTAAAGTGAAGATGATAACTGGTAATTTCACAGGACTGTGAGAATTCAATGAACTATTAATGCCACATTCTTAGCACTGTACCTGGCATGTGAGAAGTAATCAAGAAAGTGTTAGAAGGAGCTGGTCCTGGATAGCCTAAGAAATTTCTCAGAACACATTTCTACTTCTTCATTGCCCCACCCCTGAAGCTCCTCAAATTCCCAGCAACCTATGAGAATGTAAGAGAAAACAAAACCTGCCTTCTGTTGGTTTCAGTGAGCTTTTGATCTTCCTGAAATCCTCACTTCCTGCAAGAAGCCCTCCTGATTACCCTCTCTCTGAGCAGGTTAGACATGGCTACTTTCCTTAACCCTTGTCTTCCAATCTGATTTCCTGCTCCCTGAAAAAATACATTTTAGGCCTGCCCATTACAGTTAGACTTCCTTCTCCTCCCCTGTGCCAGTAGGTTCATTAGTTAGGGCATTTACCAAATACACATCTGAGTCTGAGCTCCTCTCCCAAACTTAGTGTGACACCCAGCTCCACAGACAGGACCCTGATTCAATCACAGGCCTTGCCCAGACCCCAGGAGGAACTGTGTTCATTCACTCGCCCTGGGTCAGACAACATTCCTGTGAGGTCATTCTGTGGGAAGTGGGAAACTAGAGACAAGGAAGAAGAGAGGACAGGGGATGGGTTCTGGGGGAATATTTTATACTTAAGCCTCAGACAGAAAAAGATAACAGATGACACTTGTAACACACAGAGCTCCCACTTCCTGAGAAAATGTCCATGGCCATAAAAATCCAAAGCAAGTGAGAGAGGGAGGGAAGCAGGTGCCAGGGCCCCAGAGGTGAAATTTGCTTCTCGACTACCAATTTCCAAAGTTTCTAGAGGGCTTCCTGGTGTTTTTTAACAATCAGCTTATGTGTGGAGGGAGCAAATCCTACTGGCAGTTTCCTTAGCAAGGGAAGCTGATGGGACATCTTCCATGTCTCTGTAGACCTCTCCCTCACTCCCAACACTCCCCCTTTCAAGGCTTCTAGACTGCCCCTGATCTGAAAAGGAGTGTGGAGACTACCAAGTAGACATTGGGTCATACATCTCTTGGGCTCATGCTAGTATTTACTTCACTAGATGAGAACACGGAGACTCAAATGGTTAACAAGGATGTGGCAGAGCCAGAATCTGAATCTAGACCTTTTAAGTTCAGGTTTTTATTTCATTACATGACAACTCCATCCCTTCAATAAGTTGAACCCTAAAACTCTACCCCCACCCAAAGGAGAAAAAACCCACAAAACACTCAAATTGTTTTTGCTCATGTCGAGCCCAATTCCACTTGGCCATCTCAGGTTGTTTTTTACTCTATGTCTCCGCTTTCAGTCTAGCAGCCACCCTCATCAGACTGTGAACTCCCCGGATGCTCATCTTCACCATAAGATGGGACTTCTTAAAAACAGTTCTAAAAAACAATTCTAATTCCAACTTCACTTCTCAGCTGAGCAGACAGACCCTAGGCCAGGAGCTTAAAAGCCTCTGTATCCCCCACTCCACCCCCTCAAAAGAAGAGCAGAACCTGTCCACACCGCCCCCAACCCCCCCCCCCCACAGGCTTAAGAGACCTGGCAAGATGCTTGGAGGCTAGAAGCCTGGGTCCTTGACTTTTCTTTGGACCTGCAGCAGAGAGGAGAAAGGCAATTCCTCCTTTAGCTACAGCACGGCTAAGCCAGAAGGCTGCCTGGTTTTCCCAGCGGCCCCACCCACCCCAGCTGCATTTCCCTTCCCACCCAGCCTTGCCTCCTGGAAGCTCCCGGCTCAGCTCACCCTTTCTCAGGTCAGACTCCCCTGCTTCTCACATTTCTGGACCTGGGAAGGGAACTGGTACTTCAGAGAAGGAAGTCTGAGCTCCAGCTTCCAGCCGGCGGCAGGAACACCCAGTCCTGCCCACAGGAAGAGGAGCTGGAGCCCACCTCCTGGAGAGACACCTCCAGAGGCTGAAACAGAAGTGTCAAGTTTGCTGTTTGCACCCCCAAGATGAGGGCAGGAAGATAAGTAATTACATTTCTGGACAGAAATTAGACCAGAAACTCTACACTGAGGGCTGGGCAGGGGGCCTGAGCAGAAGTGTGTGAAGAGGCCAGAAGGAAAGAGGTGAAACTCTGCACTCCCAGCGGAGTCAGAAGAGAAAGACAATATTCCAGCGTCAGCAGAAGTGCCCAGGCAGCTGGTGTGGTCTGTGGAGGTTGACGGCTCCAAGCTCAGGCCTTTTGGAGCTTCTGAGTCCTTCTCGTACAACCTGACCCCCTTCAGTCTCCGGCATACTCCACAAGCAAATCCCATTGCCTCCTGGGCTCCACTATATAAAGCCCTGGCAGAGGGCGGCGACCAAGCCAGGGCACAACTCTGGGACCTGGTTCCTTTGCTCCCAGTTTCCCCACAATCCCTGCTTCAGCTCCCTACCACCAGTTCCAAGTTGGCCCTCACAAGAACAACAGCCCACCTAGAACCTCTCGCCCAGGTCCCTGGGAACTTCGTAGCCCAGAGAATGACAGTTTCCTTGCTAGCTTTGCTCCTCCCGAGCGGCAGGGGGTCAATTTCCTGAAGCCGTCCCCTCCCCCAGCACTACAAAGCCAATCAGGCCACCGAGGCCACAACTGCCACCTCCCTGACACACACACGCACACACACACACACACACACGCGCGCGCGCGCGCGCTGTGACCAGGACAGAAGGTCAGATCTACAGCCATGCCTGTTACTCCAGCTCAGAGTGCAGGCTCTGACATGTACTTTCTCCCTGCCTGTCTGCCTGTCTGTCAGGTCTACTGCTGTGGGCTGTCTCTGGGAGCACTTGGCAACAATCTGGCTCAGTCCCTCTGCGGGCTTGGCTCAGGCTAACCTCCTCTCTCTCTCCAGCTCTGGCTTTCAGGGGCTCCGTCTCCCTCGAACTCACTGCCTGTGTCCTTTGTACTAGGCAGACGAGAAGATGGGCAGGACATCTCCCTCAGAAGGTCTGTGCAAAGCAAGGCACTGTCCACCTGGAAACTGTCCACAGCTTTCCCTCCTCCCTGCCCAGGCGGATGTTAGAAGCAGGGCAGGGCTGGGTGGGAGTCAGATCTACCCACCAGGGCATGGTTAATCCAGTTTCCATATTGCTTCATCATGCCATGCTGATGCCCCAGTCTTCT